TGCTTGTAGCCTACATCGACCTCCAGAAGACATTTGAAACAATGCATTAGGAATCACTAGATCCTGAGATTGAGAGAATTCCAACAAGGATTATTGGACTAATAGCAAGTCTGTATACTGGTACTGAAAGTATTGTAGTGTGTGGAGGGGGTTGGGCAGTCGAGCTTCTTTCCTGTTAGTTTAGGAGTGAGACAAGGCTGTTTCCTTGCACCAACACTTTTCAACATTTGGATGAATTGGATACTGGGCAGAGCTACTGTTCAAAGCTATTGTGGAGCAACTCAATATCAAGGTTACAGACCCTTGACTTTGCTGATGTTACTATTTTATCTGTCTTTGGAAATCTTAGTTGAGGCTCTGGATATATTTTGCAATGAAATGAAGCGCTTGTGTCTAGAGGGGCACTGGACCAAGACCAAGATCTAGGACTGGGTACTTGCTTGGAGAAACTTGCTCGGTCGATATGTGCTTGCGGCAAGGACACTGATGGATTGGCCTGGCAGCATGGATCATGAACTCTCTCGAAAAGAGTATTTGGAGATGCCAGTATCTGTACAAGACCAAACCGCGTTTTCAAGGCCCTGATACTGCGATTTACTATACGGTAGTGAAACATGGACGTCGATGCCTTTTGTAATAAGTCCTTGCGCCAGATCATAGGTAACTGTTGGCGAGACCAACGTCAACAAACAGTTGCACGTGAACACTGCGGATGCCTCTCATCGTCTTCTGTGTCATCATCGAATTCGACTCCCGAGCGATTTAAGCATACACTAGGGGCATTAATTCCTTGATGTTGAAGTTTCCATTCCATCGATTTTTTCTTATCATTATCACATCATTTAGAATTATTGCTAATTAATTTGGTTTTGCACCTTCTTTCATATATGCACGATTCACTATATCACTGTAATTGTATCATAAAATGTAACTCATCCATAGTTTGCAATTAATATAAGTTTTGTTTATATCCTGTTTTCATTTATACCATCTGTAAAATTATAACATACAAGTTTTTACCATTATTCTATTCTAGTTGCAATTAATTATATATATATTACATATATATATATTAATATATCTAGATATATAATAAGTAAGTACTATATATTATATATATATATAAAGTTTTTTTTTTTTTTTTTTTTTTGTTTTTTATTTTTTTTTTTGTATTTTTTTTTTTTTTTATAACGCTGATATTTCATATATCATTATTTGAAGCCAATATCTGTAATATTTAAGAGACAGGAGACACGAGTTTTATTCATCATGCATCTATTCTACGTAGCAGAGTATCAGATGGGACTAATATAATCTCCTTTCCATTAAAATCAAAACCTTTTAATCAATAACATACTTCAAAGGACAATTAAATATTATCGAAATAGCCTCTTCGAAGAGAAGGGGGAAAAGTGGTACTTTTTCGAACACAAATAAAAGGCAAGTTTACAAGAGCTTCAATCCTCTATGAGAAGGAAAATCATAAGAGACTCTAAAAGGTTCCAAAACCTATTGAAAGGGATCCGATCCCTACAAAGGGCAAGTTGGCGATCCTCGTTTGAGTAATGAGGTCGTTAAAGAACATGTTTGATGAAAGGGGCCACTTGATTTATGGCTCCCTTAACAAACACCTTTCCCCTCCCCTCTGCTTCCCTCCTCTGCTCCCCTTTTCTCCCTCGTCTCCTCTATACTCCCCCCTACTACCTCCTCNCTCCCCTTTCCTCTCCCCTCTGCTTCCCTTTCCCCCTCCCTCGCCTCCCTTTCCCCTCCCCTCTGCCCCTATCCCCCTCCTTCTGCCTCCCTCTTCCCCCTCCCCTCTGCTCCCTTTCCCCCTCCCCCTGCTCCCCTTCTCCCCCTTCCCCTCTGCTCCCCTCTACTTCTCTCCCCTTCCCCCTCCCCTCTGCTTCGCCCTTTCCCCCTCCCCTCTGCTCCCCTTCCCCTCACTTCTGCTCCCCTTTCCCCCCCCCTCCCCTCTGCTCCCCTTTCCCCTCCCCTCTGCTCTTTCCCCCTCCTCTGCTGCCCTTTCCCCCTCCCCTCTGCTCCCCCCTTTCCCCTCACTTCTGCTCCCCTTTCCCCTCCCTCTGCTCCCCTTTTCCCCTCACTTCTGCTCCCCCTTTCCCCCCCCTCCCCTTTGCCCCTCCCCTCCTTCTTCTCCCTCCCCACTACCCTCCTCTTCCCCCCCTACCTTCTACCCCCCTCCCCATCCTACTCCCCCCCCACCAACCTCCTCTGCTCCCCCCTCCCCTTCTGCTCCCCTCCCCCCCCCATACTTCTGCCCCCCCTCTCCCCACCACCCAAGCCCCCTAACCCCCTTCTTCCCTCCCTTTGCCTCCCCCTCCCCCCCCCCTCTCCCCCTCCCTTAAGAAGAAAATGTCGGTTAAAGCAAAAGAAAACGATGATAAAAAAAGAAGCAAGCAACAGAAGAGGATAAAGAAGAGAAGAGAAGAAAAAGAACACGAATAAGCAGAAGAAAACGAACAAGAAGATGGAGGCGAAAGAA